TAAATAAAATCTTAAAAAAAAGAAGAGAAAATGGAGCTCTTTAGATGTGTCTCTTCCCACATCATTCTTCTGCAGGATGCTAAGAACCAGTGTCTGCTAAGACATAATGGATAATTGGAAGGGATGTTTCCTTAAAAGGCCAAGTGTTATCTTTGAATGCCATTTTATTTACTTTTTTAAAAGATTTTATTTATTTATTTGTGAGAGAGAGAGAGCACAAGAGTGGGGGGAAGATCAGAGGGAGAAGCAGACTCCCGAGGAAGGAGCCCAATGGGGGACTCGATCCCAGGACCCTGGGATCATGACTTGAGCTGAAGGCACCCACTTAACCAACTGAGCCTCCCAGGTGCCCCTAAAGAGCTCCACCTTCCAAATGGGGCTGAGAACTATACCCAGAGTTACACAGAAAGAAACCTTCCATCTTCGATTGTTCCTCTAAGAGCGAAAGAGAACGTCGATAAGGCTCACTGATTCACATTTGCCCTTCCCTTCTGTTTGCAGACTACTATCTCCATCAGGAGGCAGCATGGGCAGGAGGCAAAGCTGAGTGATGACTGTCCCCCCCACCCCACCCCCCGACTTCATTCCCTGGGGCGTGAAATTAACACCTACCTGGCTTGCACTTCTACACACAGTATCTGACTTAATCCTCACAAGTGGCAAGGTAGATGTGATGCTGATCACCTTTTTGGACATGTGGGTTTTTCCCACACAACCAAGCAGTTCTCTGACACCAGCTGAGTGTCCTACAACTCCACTCGATTCTGACACCATCTACCCAGAGACAGCGTTAGATCCCACAGGTGAAGATCTCAGTTCTACAAAACTGCACACATCCCCCCCCCACTTCAGATGTTGGTTGCAAGCCCAAGTTATCACCTGTACTTCTGACTGACTGGCTATGTATCTCGAAGATTCCCACGACCTCCTCTGTGGGTTAATTTGCCAGAGTGGCTCACAGAACTCAAAGAAGCATTTTACTTACTAGATTACCGGTTTATTATAAAAGGATGTAACTCAGGAACAGCCAGGTGGAAGAGATGCGTAGGGCCATGTAAGGGAAAAGAACACGGAGCCTCCATGCCCTCCCCAGGCACACCTCTCTCCCTGTGCCTCCACATGTTCACCAACCTGGAAGCTCTCTGAGCCCCATCCTTTTGGCGTTTTATGGAGGCTTCATCACATAAGCAGGATTGATTAAATCATTGGCCTTTGGCAATTGAACTCCATCTCCAACCCCTCTCCTCTCCCCAGTTTTGGGGGGCTGGGAAAGAAAGGTCCAACCCTCTAATCAGAGGATTGGTTCTCTTGGCAACTGGCCCCCAACCTTTGGGACTTTCTAAAAGCCACTGCATTAACATAACAGAAGACACCTTTATGGCTCTTATCACTGTGGGAATTCCAGGGGTTTTAGAGCTCAGTGCCAAGCATGACCAAGAACAAATATAAGTATTTCCCAATCAATGGTATAGAGCAAGGAAAAAAGATCCAGATGACCAGGACTTGGCGGGGGGAGGTGGGGCGTGCTGGGGGGGGTAAAATTGGTGTCAGGGATCTGAAGATTATTAAAAGGCTTTAAAAACAAACAAAACAAAACAAAAACAGAAAAGGCCAGGCCAGGGTAGCTAGAGCAAAGAGCGAGACTGTTAGGGATCTGAGTCTTTTTCCACAGAGCAAAGAGAAGCCAGGGGAAGGCCCTCCCCCGGGGGGTGGGGGTGGGGGGTGACAGGAAGGCATCTGAATTCTGCAGAAGTCTCTCTGTGCAGATGAAGCAGGACAAGAAAGAAGACAGGGAGTCAGCCTATGGCAGCTATCCTGTAGGAGATGTGGTGACTGGGACAGGTGACAGCAGGGGAGCTTGAAGAGAAGAAAAGACATCTGACATCGCTTCTGGTGCTGGGCCATTTGTCAGGGGTGGAGGAGAAAGGAGACTCACCTATCTTTTCAGATCCCACAACAAAATGTTCACAGACTTTCCCTCCTGAGCTTAAGCTTTCTCACAGAATAAGGACAATGACGTGGCCTTTCCTTTATGAAAGTGGTACCACTTTACGCAAACATATTTCAAAGATAAGACCAAGACTGTTATCGAGAAGGAGCCCTCAAGGTGAGGGAAAAACTTTTTTTTTTTAAACCAGCTTCAAAACTAACAACATCACTCAATGCGCTATATAACACAGGAAGAACAAACTTTGAAGCCCTAGAAACTAGGGTCCCACTTGCAAGTCTAACTTTCTCAGATGTCTAACCGAGGCTGCATTATCCTACCTCTGAGTCTGTTTTCTTATTTGTAAAGAAGGGGTAACACCATCACTCCTCCCGGGGTTGTCCCGAAGACGAAGCATCAACATGAATCATGAATGGCAGGAGCCAGAAGCAGTCACTATTATTAATATAAAGCAGCATACTCCTTTTAGCCATAAACTACAGCTCTCATTGAAGGAATGAACCGTTTAACTTCTACTATAAAACATAATATTGTACCCAATAAAAATCTTAGTTGTAAATTCTGTTATATAAGAACACACTAAGGGCTGCCTCGGTGGCTCAGTCGTTAAGCATCTGCCTTCGACTCAGGTCATGGTCCCAGGGCCCTGGGATCGAGCCCCGCATCGGGCTCCCTGCTTGGCGGGGAGCCTGCTTCTCCCTCTCCCTCCGCCTGCCTCTCTGCCTACTTGTTCTCTATCTCTCTGTCAAATAAATAAAATCTTTAAAAAAAAAAAAATCCCACATCAATCTCTCAGACTCTGTTTTCCCACTTTGGGATAATAAAACCAGTCGCTATACATTAAGCTGCATTAGCCCAGCTGTCAGGCAAGCCTGGTCCATGTAGGGCCAACTGAGCAGGCTCCAGGCTGCCCCATGCCCTGCCATCCGTGTGCTCCCACCACTAAAGAATTAATAATGCCGGGCGCCTGGGTGGCTCAGTCGTTAAGCGTCTGCCTTCGGCTCAGGTCATGGTCCCAGGGTCCTGGGATCGAGCCCCCCATCGGGCTCCCTGCTCCACGGGAAGCCTGCTTCTCCCTCTCCCACTCCCCCTGCTTGTGTTCCCTCTCTCGCTGTGTCTCTCTCTGTCAAATAAATAAAATCTTAAAAAAAAAAAAAAAGAACACATTAACATTTAGAGATGGATTCTCTCAGGAAAAAAACTGGACAATCATGAGGGGGAAAAAAAAAGTGAGGAAGAAGTCCTGAGTCCACATACCCATACACATCCACATGAATGCACACGCTTGTGTGCATATACACAGGCAGTCTAGGATGGGATGGAGAGTTGCCTTATTGATTAGTAAGCCTCCTGGATGATTCTGATGCAAGTTGACCTTGCATCCCCAAATCAGGACCCCTGTGCTGACCGGGGCCAGGCCCCATAGTAGAGCCTCATGAAAAACTGAAGCAATAAACTGGTCTAATGATCTGATGCCACAAGCATATGCTGAGAAGCTAATGTGTGACAGGCACGAAATGCCCATGCAAAACACTAGAGGAGTCGCCCCTCTGCCCTCAGGGTGCACAAGTCTCGTGGCACAGATATTTAAACACCTGACTATGGTACAACGCAATGCACATGCTCAGCCGGACAGCAAGTCTTTCCTGAGCACGTTCCACATGCTTCCAGGCACCGGGGATACATCAGCGAATAAGACAGCAAACATCCCTGCCCGTACAGAGCTGACATTAGGACACAGAGACAGAAATCAACAAAATAAAAAAGCCTAAAGTACAGTCTGTTGGTGGGTGTTAAGTGTCAAGAAGAAAAACTAGAGAAAAAAAAGAGAATAAGGGAGGGGTACAGTTTTAAATCTGCACCCGTTCAAATAGGCCCCGCAGCTCTATTAAAATGTAGCACTTCATGCTTTGCTCGCAGCTGGTAAAGTAGCGCAGACACGGGTCTGAAAGGACAGACAGGGACTGACTCTGCTGGGCGGGGTGGCGGCCGCGGCCAGTCTCCAGGATGAGATGAATGCTGAGCGCATGAGTTCTCTTCCCTTCCTTTGTGGGAATGCTCCTCCTGCCACCATGAATCAGCCCTGAATGATTTCACAAAGCAACAGCCTGTGTGTCCCTTACCTTTGCCAAAACATTTCCGTCTCCTCCCAGTCAATGTGAAAAGCTTATGCAATTACATCAGCCCTTCCTGGGTCATGAAGGTCAATGGCAATTTTTAGAATTTTTTTTTTAATTATAAAGGAAACACATGACCACAGTGTAAAATACGAAAAATGTCAGAAAGTGTAAGGATTCCCAATATTCTCAACCCCAAGATTACCTCTGTTCACATTCTGATGTGTTTTTCACCAGAGTGGTGGTTTAACATAGCTAGCATCACTCTGCATCCATATAATTTTGTATCTTACTCTTTTTATGTTAACTACATATATAATTTGTAAATTACTACACGTGCATTTCTCTGCTTAAAACAAATGTTGTATGGACATCAATTTTAATGGCTACATAACATTCCGTCCTCCTGATGCACTGCACTTTATTAACCATTTCCCACCTGTTGAGCATTTAGATTTCTGAGTTGCCATCATGATCAATTACCCTGAAAATAACTTTATGTAGAAAGGTATTTCAGGGGGCACATGGGTGGCTCAGTCGTTAAGCGTCTGCCTTCGGCTCACGTCATGATCCCTGGGTCCTGGGATAGAGCCCCACATCAGGCACCCTGCTCGGCGGGAGCCTGCTTCTCCCTCACCCACTCCTCCTGCTTGTGTTCCCTCTCTAGCGGTCTCACTCTCTGTCAAATAAATAAATAAAATCTTAAAAAAAAAAAAGGTATTTCAGGGAATTCCTTCGGAATGGACTACTAGAGGGAAGGAGCATCACAGGAAGCTGCAAATACCCTAGACAAGTAGTCACAGCATGGGTGGTCTACAGATCACCCAAACTGAATCCCCACACCCCTCAGCTGCAGAGGCAGAATACAGAAGCTAGTCATATCTGGCCACCCTTTTGGTCTTGACAGTAAATGGTTTTAGAAGCGACATGTTTACCTGCTGTCGGAATCCGAGGCAATCTCCTTTCTCCCTCCAAAGCGGATCTGGCACTGCAGGGAAAGAGAAGTCACTGAGATCGGCAGTTGGGATGGGACACTCAGACATCACAATCAGTCCACACAGGTTTTCGGGATCCTGGGACACACAGGGTGCGCTAGGTGTCAAGCCAAGATGTGAGATGGACACCCCAGCCTTCCAGCCACCGCTTACAGGAAGGCCTTATCTGCCACTTGTACGGAGTGGGGAGCCTTGTGGGAAAACAACACCAAGAGGAAAACAAAAGCACACAGCCTTGTGCGGGTCATCTAGGAAGCTTCTTCTGTATGTCAGAGGCTGGCTGTCTGAGCACAGAGCTCCCAATGGGACAATTAAAACTTACACAAATCTGTGATGATGGGTGCCTTTGGAAAGGGCCCCAAAGTTGTTATGACTGCCTATAAAATTATGGCAGCATGCTTCAAGCTTCAATCATGCCATCCGGTTGTGCTGCATGACATTTCACCCAGGGCGGGTACTTATAAAAGCAAACCATTCGGGGCATCTGGGTGGCTCAGTCGTTAAGTGTCTGCCTTCGGCTCGGGTCACGATCCCAGGGTCGTGGGATCGAGCCCCACATCGGGCTCCCTGCTCAGCGGGAAGCCTGCTTCTCCCTCTCCCACTCCCCCTGCTTGTGTTCCCTCTCTCGCTGTGTCTCTCTGTCAAATAAATAAGTAAAATTAAAAAAAAAAAAAAAACCATTCTTTCTTCTTTAATTGTGGTAAAAAATAGATAACATGAAATCTACCATTTTAACCATTTTTAGTTATATACCATTCAATTCACAAAACTGTCACCATCAGCAGTAGCCACTACTGTCTTTTAAAGGTGTGGAATCTCCTCTGTGTGTAGCAGGCTTGCAAGATTCCAGAACTTATTCTCCAAATGAATGAATCAATGAATGAATGAATGAATGAATGCTTTTAAATGATACATATGTCAAAACTCATGGAACTGCACACTTTAAATCGGTGTGTTTTATTGCATGCCTCAGTTATACCTCAGTAAGATTGACTTTTAAAAGGTCTGTGTACAATGCTTCCATCTCCCCAGTCATAACAACAACAATAGTAACAGCAGCTCTGGGCATAGGCTCCAATTTATTTCTGTTTAATGGCTACATTCAAAGTGGTCCCACTTGCCTCTTCATTTTCTTATTGTATTTCCCACTTCTGGGACAAAGAAACAAATAATGTGGACTCCGTATTTACTACTGGGCCCTTTAGCTACTTCAACAAATGCAAACCCCTCGTCAGCCCTCTGGAGAGCAGTGACTCGATGACAGAGAAGAGGGATGCCCAGAGAGGCTAGATGAGTTGCCCCAGCACACACAGCCTTAAAGAGATGAAGCTGGCATTCGGCTCCAGCTTCACCTGAAACTGCGTCCTTTCCACCACACACCACACCTGGGCGCCAGGAGGCTGGGGAGATGCCAAGTTCTCTGGGTTCACTTCAACACCTGACACGCATCTCTATGAAAGTACTGACCTCCCTATATGGTGACCGCATGCACAGAATTGTCAGTGACGCCTTCTGAAATGTGAGCTACCTAGAATTCCCAGCATTGGATCCTAGCTCTGCTACTTATTACCTCTAACTCCTTAAGCGAATTATTGCATCTTTCTGAGCTTCCGTTTCTTTGTCCGTAAACTGGAAACAAGTGCAGGAACCACCTCACAGGGTGGATGGAAGGATGAGAGGGGAAGCGCTCAGCGGAGAGCCCGGCACGGGACTGACGTGTGTGCAGTTAACCATACATGTCTGGCACACACAGGCAAGCACTCTGAAGCCAGCCTCGTGCCAAAGCTTGCTTCCACACCCAGCCAAAAGCCGGATATCAAAAATCGCATCAAGCCATCAGAGCAGAGCCCACCTGGAGGACCCACGCGACCCTGGGCATGGTTTCGCTCCTCCTGTGTGTCTCTGTTCTTGTGCCCAAGGAGCGCTAACTCCAGCCACCACTTCAGCGCCCGGAAGAGTTGCCCTGAAACACAACTGTGGGGAAGTGAGACTTTGACATCGACACCAAAGCCCTTCTCAAAGGGACATCATGACGGACGGGGTCCCCCATGGCGTTAAAGAGTCAGGACATGGGGCGTTCCTCCGTCAGTACTTCTGACTGCCCTCCCTGCTCTCTCGTGGCCTGGGGGGCACTACGAGCCTCACTGCTCCCAGACAGGAAGTGGGGGTAGGTCCATGCAGAAGGGACTTCGACGTGAACTGCCTGACACTGTTACTTGACCTGAGAGTCAAACGGGAGCTTTCCTCTTACCTGTTTCACTGCATCCAGCAGACGCTCCAGCAGAAACTGTCTTTTCAGGTCATTGTTCTGTGATCCTAAAATGCAACGAGGCTTCATTAGTTCAGTTTGACATAAGCCTTCTGCCACAACGGGCTTCAGCCTCCTCTAGAGTGAAGGCACCAATAATCTATCTCATTACAGTGAGGTTTGGCCATTTGCCTGTTGCTACCTCACAGGAAAGCAGCTCAATGAATGTCTCCCACATTTGAAAAACGTGTCCGGAAAGGTCTAACTCAGGGTTTCTCAACCTTGGCGCCAATGACGTTTGGGCCAGATCATTCTCTGTGGTGGGGGCTGCCCTGTGAACTGCAGGATGCCTAGCAGCATCCCTGGCCTCTACCCACCAGACACTATTAGCGTGCGCGCGCGCACACACACACACACACACACACACACACACACACACCCCAGTTGTAGCAAAATGTCTCCAGATACTGCCAAATGTCCTCTGGGGGACAAAACTGCCCCCAGTTGAGAACCAGCAGTCTAATTTACCATGCAGTTTCCCTAGTATGGCAGGCACTGCCCACTGGCTGACCTCACCATCGGCTCTGACGTCCTTTCCCCATGCCACCTCCCACGGTACAAGCTGAAAAGCCTAATTACTCCTTTTCTCGGCCTCTTTTGGAAGGCTGACCTTAAGAAGTTCTAGCTGACGGGCGCCTGGGTGGCTCAGTTGGTTAAGTGACTGCCTTCGGCTCAGGTCATGATCCTGGGGTCCCGGGATCGAGTCCCGCATCGGGCTCCCTGCTCGGCAGGGAGTCTGCTTCTCCCTCTGACCCTCTTCCCTCTCGTGCTCTCTGCCTCTCATTCTCTCTCTCAAATAAATAAATAAATAAAGAAGTTCTAGCTGACAAGATGTAAGCAGAAGGGAGGGATGGGGGAAAACCATTCCTTCCTGATAAAGGAACAGTTGTTAATGGTTTCACTCCTCCTTCCATCCTTCACACCTTCATCATAACCATGCTGGGCAGAGTGGCACCACGGCCATGAGGCAAGAGCCCAGAGGGAAGGCCAAGAGAACCACAGAGACACCAGCCCTCACACCATTTCACTGCTGAACCAATACTAGAAATCTCCAGCCTCTCATACAGCAAACAACCCCGTTTGTTCAAACCACTGGATGCTGGGCTGTTTACTTGCAGCCCAAAGCATTCCTAACTGATACACGTGGCATGCACCAAACTTCCATTTAAAAGGGTCTGAGGCAGGGACACTTCAAAGCACCAAGCAGACCACTATAGAGCTACATCTGATGCCCCACAGGAGGCCCAGTGACTCCAGTCAACAGGGACACAGCTCTGTACTGTGATGCTCTGGACAGAGAACACAGTCATTTCAAAGGAGACTCAAATTCAGAGGTACAAGAACAGATGCCCCACACCACTGGCCTTGAAGTGCCACCAAGCTGCTTCTTGCTTGGGCAATTTATCATGGGCTTCGCCAAGGAATCCCAGCAGGGCATCCTCGCAGAGACGGTCAGTGACTCAACTGAGTTATGTCAGGGCCACTGGGTTGATAACAACTGTGACCATGTGTTGAGCACTTCCTGCATGCCAGGCACTAAACTGAGTACTCTGCATGCATCACATCCTGTCATTTCTACACCTCCCCCCCCCCACCCCGTACAAGAAAAGTATTAGGATCCCCATGCTGCAGATGGGAAAACTGAAGCCCAGAGATGACAGCAAGCATGTGCACTGACCCACTCAGTATTTATTTAACTTCTACTGTGTGCCAGGCAATGTGCTGAGTGCTGGGGATATGGGAGTGAAATGGTACAGAAGATCCAGCCTCCCATGGAGCAAAAATCGCACCTAAGGAAACCTAAACTGAGATGATGTAAGGAAGTCATATTAAGAAGAAAAACCAAATGGGGTGATGAGACAGGGAGGAGGCAAGACAGCCCCGTTCACCAGGGCAGTGGTGGAAGGCCTCCCCACACAGGTGACATGTGAGCTGAGCCCTTTATAAAGAGAAGGAGCAACCCTGGAAAGACATGGGAGCCCAGCATTCCAGGCAGAGCAGATAGCCAGGGCGGATGCCTGGAGGCAGGAAGAAACTAGGCTTCTGGTCTTCCAGGAGCAGAAGGAAGTCTGCCATGACTTGAGCAAAAAGCAAAAATGAGGAAGGAAAGATCAGACAGGTAGGCCGGGGCTAGTCACAAAGGACCTTGCGAACTAAAATAACAGGTTTTGTTCTAATTTGAATACTAATTGGTGGAACTACGATCCTTACTCAAGACCATGCCCCTCGAGAGTCTGTGTCGGGACCACCACACAAGGCTCCTGCCTCACTCCAGGCCCACAGATGAAACCAGGGAGTAGACACGCCACGGACACCCGGTCATAGCAACTGACTTCCCGAACATTGTCATTGTTATTCTTTTCTGGAGGGGCTTTGAGAAAGGGGGTTTGAAGGGTCATTCAGGATGTCTGGAGACCACCCCCCTACCGAAAGTCCCCAAACACCTCCCTTGATACCTATGTCTATCAGTAAATCCTACTTTTTTGTTTAGCAGGTTTGGCTTCTGCTCTTCTCTCTCTAACATCAGGATGGACAAGTGAGGCTTTCTTTCTTCCTTCATCCAACAACCCTACCTGCCCTTGGGCAATACCAGCTGGAAACTTGACAAGGTTTTCCACCCTGAAATGCCTTTGCTATTTTTTTTTAATCAAAGAAGTAATTTATGTGATAGAATCATCATATGACCCAGCAATTCCACATCTGGGTAGACACCCAAAAGAAATGAAAGCAGGGTCTCGAAGAGATACTGTACACCCATGTTCATAGCAGCATCCTTGGTGGTAGCTGAGACGAGAAAGCAACCAAGTGTCGATCGACAGATAGACGGATAAGCAAAATGGGGTCTATCTACACAATGCACTATTATTTAGCCTTCAAAAAGGAGGAAATTCTGCACTATGCTACATGGATGAGCCTTGAGGACTTTAGGCTGAGTGAAATAAGCTAGTCCCCAAAAAGATAAATACAATTCTAATCATAAGAAGTAGTCAAAATCACAGAGAAGAAAGTATGATGGTTTCCAGGGACTGAGGAGAGGGGAGGATGGGGAGTTATTGTTAATGGGAACTGAGTTTCAGTTTTACAAGATGGAAAATCAAGGGGATGGGCGGTGGTGACGGCTGCACGACAGTGTGAATGTATTTAATACCACTGCACTGTCCGCCAGAAGTGGTTAAGATGGTGAATTTTGTTATGTGTATTGAACCACGATAAAAAAAAGTAATTCATGTAAAAAAATAATTATAAATCAGGAAAGCAGGTAAAAAGAAAATAAAAATCTCCATCATCTCATGACTGATCATTTTTAGTGCAGTGATTCTCAAGCTTTTGTATTCACACGAAATCTCCCAGGCTCTTGTTAAAGACAGGTTCTGATTCAGCAGGTCTGGGTGAGACCTGGGATTTGGCGTTTCTCGCAAGTTCCCGGATGCTGCTGATGCTGCTGGTTCCTGACCCACGCTAGCACAGCAAGGATTTCGCACCCTACCCTTCCTGATTTGCATGATGATCCGGGTTCTTTTTTACAGTATCTGGATCCACTGCTCTTTCTAGATGAGATGTCGGCAGCCTCCTCTGCCTTACCCCGCAAAGCCTCTCTTTGTGGTGGGAAGAAAAGCCTGTTCACTACAGAGGATCAGCCCTCCACTCACCCTCCCTGGCTGCAATCCCTCGGCAGGTGAGAAGTGCACCCGAGTGAGGCAGTCCTGACCTCAGCAGAGGCACCCGTGGCCATCCTGGCCCTAACTGGGGATTCAGAGAAGGGAGTCTCAGAGGGTAGAGGGAGCACATGCAGCTTTGGGAGCATGTACACACTGCAGGAGGTGCCCGGGAGGCCATGGCCACGAGGAGCAGCAGAAGGAGGACCAGCGGGAAGTCACAAGGCATCATGAGCTCTCATCCCAGCAGAGCCACTTGTTGGCCATGTGACAGGGACAGTCACTTCCCTCCCCCGGGCACTGGTTTCTGCATGAGATCATACTCTCCTAGCTCCGCAGTCTGGAACATGGGGCCCCCGTGCAGACAGGCAGGCAATCTATGCTACCAGTGTCTTTCCTGTCTTCTTCCAGTGAGCAAGAGGAGACTACAGCACCCCTGCCAGGGCCAAGAAGAATCCCCCACTCTCAAACGCTGCAACCACTGGAGGGGAGCAGGGAGGCAACGCCTACCCACTGAGCCTCAACAGTGGTGAAGCCATTAAGCGACTGACATTTAATCTTTGACATAGGAAATGTGGCTCCATTCACCAGAGCACTGAGGCTCAGCGTGGAGCACCCAAGGGCAGTCCCATGGGAAGTACCCAAGGAGGGATTCAGTTTCAAGTCCACTAGCTCCAGGCTCGGCCGTCTGCTAAATCTTGCTGGCTCTCAAGCTTTTGCAACAAACCTGCAGTCAGCCCCACTGCAGCTCAGAGATGATTTCTCAGTGATTCTCTTGAAGGAAGCCCCAGCCTTCCTGCTCTCTTTCTTTTCCAAGGGCAGCCCTCAGTCCACACTATTGACCAGATGAGCCAAAAAAACAGGCTTCTTTTGAATTTCTTGTTGATCATCATCAAAAATTAGAATAGAAAACGTAAGGGTGCCCCCAGGGAGTATCCCCAGGGGGCCACAAAGCCCTCAGAGAAATGCAGTGATCCCCTGCAGCTCTAACTCAGAAGTCACAGGTGCATGTGAAAAATCAATCACCTGGCTCATGTGCACCCCTGTTGTCTTTAATGTTTAGAATCCTTAGGATCCTACATTACTTTTTACCACAAACCTCCAGCCCTCAGTTACCTCCTAGGGAGACAGAGAAGGGGTTAAGAATGGAATAGCCCAGATTCAAATCCTCACCACCAGCTATGTGACCATGGGCAGGTTACTGACCCCCTCTGCACCTTCTAGGTCTATTATTAAGTGAGTGAGTGTTAATTGTGCACCTAGAACAGTGCCTAGCTTAGACCAAGCACTTTTTACATGTTAGCTATTATTACTCTTATTGTGGTTGGCAACCCTATACCCCAGAGATGTAA